TCTTTCTTACCTTTCCGTGTATTATAGTTTGTTTAAATTTCTACTTTTCTTCAAACTGTATGTATACTTCTTAAAATGTACAACTTTGAACTGGTGTATTTTTGTACGCAGTTCTCTGTCGAAAATTCAGTCAGACTCTTTGTTTATTTGCCTCTCTGTTGTCAACTTTGAAATTGTCCGAATGTATAGTGCATTATTGTTGTTACAAAGGCATTGTTTGAGAAGTTTGTCGATGCAAAACATAGGATGGACGAAAGTGAACTCAAATGACAATTTGGACGAATGAAATAATACCGGGGACATTTTAAAGTGCGAATAATAATGACAATAATAGTGAAAAAAGACTTAATAAGAGAATATATAGCCAAATTCTATGAAATGTGACTTAAAATCCGTCACCAAGAAAATGCTCTGCGTAAAGTTGGAATTCAAAGATGAATTAGCCGCAGACATCGTTAAAAGAACCACTTCAGTATCGCTGAAGAGGTCGTTCCTTGCTACATCCTTGAGAATAGCGTTTTCCAGTCGGCCATTACTATTCAATAACCATCTGAAGCACAAGGCCAAGCAGTTGAATTGCTCGTATGGAGCTAAGTATGTCGGTTGTTTGACTCTGGTCTTGTCCAAGAGGGTCCAAGAACCCTATCCTGCATACTTACGGAGAGGTGGAAGTGGAGCTATAAGAAGCACAATCACTGAACATCTGGTCGATACTAATCACCCTTTCTCTACAATCGCAGCCTTTAAAGTCATCCAGAAAGTAAAAGATAATTTATCCGAATTACTATGTATCCGACTCATCTGTATTTCTGAAGCTTTGCTTATCGAAATAGAAAAACCAGATCTCTGTATACCGAAAAGGTTCGTTTAAACCCTCGAAATTTCATGATCTGAACTGTCTATGCTGTAGTATGGTAATTCCCATTCATATTTTAACTCTACTTAATTTTCGTTTTGTTTATTCACTTTGTATACTTTTCCTTGATTATGTCAACTGTTACTATCACTGTTCTCACTTTGGATTGTCCCCCGTATCACTTCATTTGTCCCACTTGTTATTCTAAATCGATTCTGTTTCGTAACGTGAAGTCCCATGCTATCAAACTTAACACGATTTTACGTAACGTTTTTTATATTTATTCTAATTGCTTACTAATCCTTTGATTTAACATTCTTCGGTGGCACAGCGTTAGAATCTGTCTGTCTGTTTTCGACATAGAACTTTGCACAAATGTGCGGAAGTTCAAGTCGCCACATTCCGTGTAGCACGCGAAGCAAGAGAAGAAAGTACAAGAAAAGCATAATAGAAACAGTGAGCAGAGGTGTGAGACAAAGGAGTAATAAAGAAATACAAAACAATTTCATTGAAGATCATAAGTCACAGGGAGTGGATGCATCTGCGCCACTGAGAACGATTTTGAGCCATGTCACCAATTGTTTCCAACCATAGATTTTTACCGTCCCGAGAACCCCAGCCTGGAAGTCTACACCTTCCTACGTGACTGGCTAAGACCAACTGTTGTGGATTTCATTGACTGATGCCAAGTTTTTGTTTGACCGCCGCTAGCTTTTTTCCAGCCTGACCCTATATCCGCTAACATTGCTCGTCGAGGGAGGCGATGACTTGGCATACGTAACACATGTCCTAACCATCTCAGTCGATGTAGCTTTACGACTTCGTCGATTGATTTCCCCTGTTTACCTAGAACTCTACGCCTAACCTCCTTGTTGCTCACCTTATTATGCCACTTTACACGGGAAATAGAACGCAGGCACCTATGATCAAAGGCAGCTAGTCTTTTCATGTCTTCCACTCTCAGTGGCCAGGTCTCACAACCAGCGTTAGAATGCTCACCAACCTAGTATGTGGTCCAAGGTTCGACTCCCGACCGACACACTCTTTCACCTCACTAAGCCAGTATTAAGATTGTTAAAGAGAGAAGGTTGGGCCTGAGGCTAGCAACGTCATCCCGTAAAAATAAACACAACTGCCACCGAAACTTCAATCCTCTAGCTTGAAGCCCTATGTTCCGCTGGGAACATAAAAGAAAAATAGCTAACCCTATGATTTCACACCCCTTTCAAGTTCTATACATTCTATGAATTATTCTATATATGACTTTAGTTGTTTTACCACTTGACATTTAAATATGATTATGATATATATGTGCGTCGGTGGCACAGTGGTTACGACTCTCGCCGACCATGCATATGAACCGGGTTTCGATCCCCTGCCGACGCACACCCGATATCTATGGTCGGCCTACAAAATTTGGGCTACCGATATCACATGCTGAAAATTCCATACTTGTACCGAAAATACGGTATGGCATCGAGCTGTAATCAAAATAAAATCACAAACAGTTTAGCTCTTATTTTATTTTATACTGCTATGGTTATTTTATATATTCAAGGTTATGATTCACTTCCTTCATGGAATATAATTTCCTAAAAAAAACCATATAAATGTGATTGCACATCTTGATAATAAATTGGTTGAGGAGAGCCTCTTCACTGAATCACTTGCTTTAGCTTTCTATACGTGGCCCAATAAGAATTTTCCACAAATTATGAAAGTGGACTTATTTTTCCCGAGTGAAATGAACAAAAAGTAGTCCGATGAAAGATAATTTGGAGTTGCTACATAAAGTTCTTATTGTATAGAGAATTGTCAGTTAACATTGGTAAGGCTATACTTAACAAGTAAATCTTTCATTTTCAGACACAATAAATTATATGGCTTAGGTCTTAGCGTCTGTCTGTCTGTCTGGATTCAACATAGAACTTGGCACCGAAGTGCACCAGTTCGAGTTGCCACGTTCCAAATAGCACACACAAAGGTAGACAAGAAGGTGAGTGAAGAGAATCAATACAGTCTGATAAGTATAAGAGTGAAACAGAATGGGTAATGGTAGAAAGGAATATGAAAGATTACAAAGACTGAATACATCTGCGCTAGCCATTGACAACGATGAGTTTGAGCCATGTCACCTATTGTCTCCAGCCATTGATTCCTAGAGTCAGTCCCGAGGGCCCCAACCCGGGAGTCTGCATCTCCCTACCTGACTCAGTTTAACTGTCAAGGATTTCATGGATTGATGCCATGTGTGAATTGGATGCGGGTCCCAAAGGTGACAAACAGAGGAGATAATGGAGAAAGATTATGAGAGTCTAGGGAGAATCATACAGCCAACTAAAGACGACCGCATAGAACAGGGTGGAATCGAGATGTGCTGTTATTGAAGTTTCTGAGTTTCACTCAGAACTTAAGAAAACTGAGAGAGAGAGAGAGAAACAAGCATAAATAGATAGATAGATCTGCTGAATACTTAGCGTAAGTTGAACCAGATCCTACGTTAATGAGTTATGCCCCGTGTACGTTAATACATAACAGTGTTACACTGAAATGATTATTAGCAATTAATTCTCCTTGAAATGTTATGCCTAATCAATTACACTGTATCAAGAGAGGCCTTCATTAGTCTGAAATCAGTCTCTAAATCCTCTACCCTCTCAGTAGAATCAACAAGATTCACATTTTGAACGCTAATGTATGTATGTATGTATGATTTAAAGATTTAGTGTGCTCATCACAAAAAGTATTTCTGACAATGTTCATCAAATAGTTGCTTTCACTCCATTCTAAAGATCAGATGGCTTGAAAGGATAGTTGATCAACTAAGAACTCTGGCAACGAACTAATCATAAGAACCAATCACCGAACAAACCTGCTGAAGGAAATAAAACTGGATTGAATATAAGTTATGAAAAACACTGAGGCAAATCACAGACAAGCTCCTCGAAGTAAATAAAAATGGGAGATGGTGAAATGAGTAAAGGTTGGAGGGTGACATGCAGGAGATTGTCGTATAAGAAATTCTAATTTGGAAACTACATCAACACCATGGCGTACATTACCAAAATCTTTATCAATTTCATTCAATAGCTGGCTATATGATAGTGGCATGTGTTAAGGGATCCAGAACTCCAAAACTCAGCGAAACCTATGAAATGAAGACATAAGTCATACAAGGCTGACTACTATCACCAAAGATATTTCCAACTGTGATGGTCTGGATTATACGCCAAACTCTGCATCGGACTGACAAGACAAAGTTACGCTGAATAGATAAAAAGACCATAGATGAAGTGGATTTATCGAATGATTTATGATTAGTGTCATATAAATTCAAAGACTTACAGGTGAAAACGAACATGTAGACACAAAAAGCAGGCGTTTAGATAAGAATTCAAGTGAACACAAAGAAAACGGAGTAGATTAGGCTGACCAGCCAACAATGACGACAACAAGCATGGATGACTTTCTTCACTTATTTAACTAGGCATCATCGTTCCAACTACAGACGATAGTATGGATGAGGATGTTAGAGCCAGCCAGAATCTGAAAGGCAAGACAGACATTCATTACACTGAAACCGATGTGGAAATCCTTTGCATTCAACCATCATAAAGAATAAGATTTGGGATTTCCACTCCAGTCTTAAATCAGTCAGTCAGTTTTTGTGTATGAGTCAGACACTTGGGGAGCGAGTCAACAGCTACCAACTTCACTGGCTCCATACTGAAAATCAGAGGGCTAACCGCCCAGAAAGAATGGGAAACGAACTAATCTAGTGCCAAGCTACTGCTCAACAAATCTCCGGAGGGAACTAGAGATGCTTTCGACACACACACACACCGTGGAGACCGTCGGGTAAAGTCACTCATCAGGCAGTCTACTGAGCGGAACCTGATTAAGAAAAAGTTGTGCATCGCTTTGAGAGTGACATAGAACAGACTGTGCGTGGAGGAGATGATAGTGTGTGGGCAATCATGGGGCCGCCTAAAATGGACTGCAGACAGTAGGACAATGTGGAGCCGGATGTTTCACTCGGAAGCCAAGGGGACAGTAATATTACCCTATTAATACATTTCCTGTTATCGTTTTGTCAGTATACATATATATATATATAGATATCATTTACTTTTCTAAATTTTAGATTCTAAATTGTGTTCAATTGTTTTGCTACCAACTGAAAGAAACAATGTACCTGATTTCATTACTGGTAATGTTTTGGATCAGGATAAAGGATACGGTTACTTAACGTTTAATGGATCCTTATATCATGAAGCTGAAGCGGCTGGTAATTTAGAGGCGAAAACAGGATTTTATCATTTGAGAATATTAGCCAAAGACTGTTCTAATCCACCAAAATCTACAATTTCATGGCCAATCACATTTGAAGTGAGTTGTTGTCATTGATGTTATGCTTATGAAATGTTGTTAATTGTTGTATGGTTCACTCAGCATTCTCTGTGTCCTCTTCATACAGACGAATCTTATAGCTAATTTTTATTTTGAACAAAGTTTCGAAGAAGTTGTCTAGGAAGACTTTGGCACCTTAAAACAGAAAAGTACATCAGAAACGGGATTTGAAGTTCAGTAAACTGATATCAGTCTTTTCGGCGATTTAATGCTTAAAAGCAGCTATAAAATCACATTGACACACTTAAGTTCACAAAGATACAATTATTAATACTTAATTTCACATAATAGTGAAAGAAATTAAAGGCGGTATTAATTTTCAACTTCATATGAAAGTTTGAAAGTGTGATTATGGATTACAAGGGGTTTAGAAAGAGAATTACTCAGTACTAGAAAGTAGTTTTTCAACGGATGCAGTTGTGAATGAGATGAGCATAGAAACAAATTGAAATAATAGCCTTTTTATAACTGAACTGGATCCATGGTAATTGGAGAAGTTGGACTAGTTTCTTCTCAACACATAGTTCCAGCTTCTTGATACATATTGTGAGGGCTTCTCCAGTTCAAAGAATTAAGGAACGCAGTGCCTTTGATTGTAGATTTTGTTTAATTTATAAATGACTCCGAAAGATGAATGAGTCAGTTGAGATGCTGTGACAGGTGTGCTAACGTCGTGTTCAATCATGGCGCTTCTGCTTAAACCAGTGCCTCCTGTTTTCAATCATGTTGGGGAGTGTTTTCTAACACCTCTTTATAGGAAGCTCATAGAAAAACCGATGTACCTAGCTTCATAGGAGCAGATGAACTGATATATGCACATTCAAGTGGTTGTATGCGAAAATCAGTCCTTCAGATTGCTAAGAAGTAGTGGGTGGCTAGAGAATACCACTCTAAGAGTTGCTGCAGGAAAGATCTTCTTTAGGAAAGTGAAGATTTTCCTCTTTAGGATATATGCAGCCTAGTCTCCCCTGAAGTCGAGATCCGAATAGTTTACTTTTTTGGCATTGAAGTGCATTCTTCTCTTCTTGACTTCGATTTCATTTTCTTCTCCACAACATGTTGATAGTTAATTCATTCAAGCTGTTAACATTTTTGGGAAAAAGAGAAATTCAGCGAAATCAGTAGACAGAATTCTTTGGGGATTAGGAGATTTAAATGACAAATAATTAGGAGTTTGAAGATTGCAAATGAGTGAATGTATTTATTTACGTCAGTAGGGAAAACGTTTGACTGAATATCTCTAAACCGTTAATTTCAAAAGTATATGCAGCTTTTTGAATGTATTCGAAAGTGATATGATGAAACAACTTGCAGTGTAATCTGTTATAATATATATAATGTGTCTAGTCATATCTTTACTGCAAACCGAGTTTTCGTGATTTGAATTCTATTAGTCAAATTTCCAATCTGGTCACCATGCTAGGTGGCTTACAAACACACTGAACTGTGAATTGTTAGTATTAGATGGTTAGAGCCAATCGGCATAAAGCTTTGAACCTACGTTTCCTGTTAGTTTGCACTCACTAATCAGCAAGGCGTATCTGCAACCTTGAAGGAACTCATCTTTCTCCTGAGATTCAAACCCGCGTCACCCAGTGCTGCAGTCAGAGACGGTATCACTGAGCTAGCTATTCAGGCTCACGATTGGCCTCCTGTAGGACTGTATTGGATAATTCGATTGAACAATGGTTAATCACTAGTTTTATCTTTTTTTCGGTTACATAGCAAACTTGACTGATAGAGTTCAGTCTGTATCAAAGATAGGACAAAGTGCACATTAGAGTAAAGGTTTTTGTATTTCCCAATGAGTGAAAAGCAAAACGATATTGTTTTTACTGACGTTTCGCTATCTAATGCTAATAGCTTTATCAAAATATTATAAATATTAGTATTATAAAAATGCACGTTGCATTACAGGATTTCATCATGGGCTGATATTGGTTAGAGAACCATTGGAAAACCACCACTGTAGTACTGAACAGCTGTTTCATCCTAGTTCGGGACTCCTCATCAGTACGCAACCACCGAGATTCGAACCCAGGAGATTCTGGTTACAAGGCCAGTGAACTCGTAGACCATTAAGCCACTGGGAACAGATCCCATGGCCAGTGCATGAATTCTAACTTCTGCCGATTCACGACATAGCGCAACCGCTAGCTAGTGTCTTTGGAGACCCAACCTGCTGCACCCTACTGGTAACGACTTCTCACTAGGACCCCAGGTGACTACCTAACTGAATAGGGCAAGTTGCTAGTGAGCATCTCATTGAAATTCAAGTGTTGATTTGTAGGGATTTGATTGGTTTCAGGATTTCATCATGAGCTGACATTAGTTAAAGAACCATTGGAAAATATGGGAGTACTTGACAGCTATTTTTTCCTAGTTTGGGACTCTTCAGCAGCACGCATGCGCCACAGGGGTTCGAACCCAGGACCTGCTGGTTACAATTCGAGCTTGTATACCAGTCCAGTACTCCCAGGTTTTCCAATAGTTCTCTAACTAATGTCGGTTCATGATGAAATCCTGTAACCAACCTGTAATGAAAAAAATTCTGTCTAAAGTCACACTTTAAAGAATTTTTTAAAACTACTTGGGTGTCATTTGGGCTGATAACATCACTTTTCGTCCCGTTTTGCGATTCATCAGCCGGACGTAAATATACTGTAGTTCATAACACGTTTCGGCATTTTGAAATGATAGGTTCTACGTTCGAGTCTCAGTGCAATGGATAATTATTACTGCCTAGGATGAAAGTGCATCCACTTCACGAATCCCGAAACAGGACGAAATGCACGTAGGGAAATCCACTTTTAACCAACATCAACTAAAAACAACATCATAGTAACCTCAAGATATCGTTAGAGAGTCTGTACGAAAATCCAAGACGTCAAAAAAGAGACTAAGTAAAAGTCGGTCCAATAAAAATCAATCAACAGGATAATCAAAACTTCAGCAAATATGATTTCGCTTACATTATGAATGATTATTCATTTCTTATAATCTGTCTGCCTGTCTGTTTTCGACATAGAACTTTGCACAAATGTGCGGAAGTTCAAGTCGCCACACTCCGTGTAGCACGCGAAGCAAGAGAAGAAAGTACAAGAAAAGCATAATAGAGACAGTGAACAGAGGTGTGGGACAAAGGAGGAGTAATAACGAAGAACAAAACAGTTTCATTGAGGATCATAAGTCACAAGGAGTGGATGCATCTGCGCCATTGAGAACGATTTTGAGCCATTTCACCAATTGTTTCCAACCATAGATTTTTACCGTCCCGAGGACCCCAGCCTGGAAGTCTACACCTTCCTACGTGACTGGCTTAGACCAACTGTTGTGGATTTCATTGACAGGTGCCAAGTTTTTGTTTGACCGCCGCTAGCTTTTTTCCAGCCTGACCCTATATCCGCTAACATTGCTCGTCGAGGGAGGCGATGGCTTGGCATAAGTAACACATGTCCTAACCATCTCAGTCTTTGTAACTTCACGACTTCGTCGATTGATTTCTTATAATAATAATAATTTGCTTTATTCCAGAAACAGTACTAGTGGTACAATGTGGAATTTTTAGCACTTATCTACAATATTCCATCTAACTTTATCAAACGTTTAAAAGGAGTATTTCGAAAAAATAAATATAGAAAAAAACAACAACAGCAAAAAACAATCAACACAAAATAGCGAAAAAAAATACCAAGAAACAGAAAGGAAAATAAACAACAATAATAAATAATATCTCAGTAGTGGGTAGTGGAAGCTATGACACGTTTGTGCCTGGTGAACAGGAACAGCTATAATCATACAAGAAGTTATGAAATGTTCTTAAGAATGTTTATCGCCAAGATGATCAGTTAATTTGATTGAACTACACTAAACAATCAGAAAATAAACATTTCAGGTTGTGTTTTTTTATTGTCAGCACTAATGCAGTGTTTGTAGTGGTAGCGTGAGGAATCATGCATAATACAAAAACTTTAGGATGGTGATAACAGCGTTAACAACCAAGATTGTCACTTTAATATTGCCGAACAAAAAAAACAACCACAAAACTAATACTACATGATCGTTAATGACAGGACAATTTTGTAATACTCGCAGCACTTATATAGTCCGGACCAGTAGATACACAAAAGAAGGAATAGAATAAAGAATAAAAAAGTAAGCCAGTGATAATAATTTTAGGTAGCTAAGTATGTTTAAGAAGGTTGTTCACTATAGAGTACAAATAAGAGAGTATTAGGGGGAAATAACAAGGGCCAAAATTATATTATTAACAACAAAGCATGTCAGAGGTTTTGCGCTTAACATTGTCTCTGTCACTTAGAACACAGGTCAAATATGGTATCGTTGAGTTCCTATATTTGGTTGTACGAGCATATATTATTTTGTACTGATTTCTGCTTCTACTGGATGAAATGCAAGGAGAGAGTTGGGAATAGAAGGGGTGTTGGGGGTCAGAGAGTATGGTTTTAGACCATTTTTCGTATGTATTCAGATGCTTATCTACTAATGTAGTGACGAGCTGACTGAGTTTTACACCACTAGTCCTACTAACTACCTTCAACATCCTTCTCAGGATGGTATAGTCCTTTTTCAGTAATCCAGGAAAGACTAATGGGGAGCAGTAAAGTAGAATAGGTAAGATACGGGAGTTGAAAAATTGTGAAAGCAGAGGTTGAGTGACTCCAGTTAGTCTGAGTTTCTTAATGTAGTAGGCTAGACGGAACAGTTTCTTAAAAATCATTAGGATATGAGATGACCATGTAAGTTCGGAAGATAGAAATAGTCCGAGGTATTTTGTATTAGACTTGGTTTCAATTTTAGTCCCCTCAATGCTACAGGCTTCATGAGTACTTACTAGTGTTTGTAGATCTCTGTATGCCTAAAGCCTAAGTCAATAGTCTCGCATTTTGAGGAATTCAGCACGAGGCCATTTAGTTTAGACCACTGACTGATGTCCGACAGGAAGCTGTTTGATTTGA